CATTGGTAGCCTCGTGGGTTCCCACCCACCACAGACTAGACACTAAAGAAACAGACTGCCAAGGTTTCTCTCCCAGGCTGGGGTCATGTGGAGGGGCCATGCAACAAGTCCTGCACTTCACTATCTCCATGTGGTTCACATTAGCAGAAACACGATCCCACGTCCCCAAATGTGGCCACACAACCCACCTATAAATTGGAAATATTTGGCATTGTGGCAGGACAGGTCGTATCAAATTCTGGAAGGATATACTTCCAGTTCTCTCCAAAGGTGGGTCACCATTTTCTGATCGGAAAATTGTATGCAAACTGTACCGATATGTCAGTATAGAGTTCAATCTTGTTTCTTGAAACATTCTAGCTAGCAGGCTTATGGAACTGGGGGTTTGGTGGTCTTCGGCTGTTTTCTGATTAGCCCAGTTCTAAAAACAGGGGTAATTCAACCAGGCCGACTATGTTGTCTATATGCAATCAGAAAATAGCACATAAAAGATCCCAAAGACCATGGATAGCCCCCAAACCCCCAGTTTTTGGCATGCTATGGAGGCTAGCTTCTAGCATGCTACTGTATTTCTAATAGTAGTTGATCTGCCTATAGTATCTCCCCCACCTCCAGAAGGTATGTGACATTTATCAATCCCTGCATGTTTCAATAGCCTTTTCCTTACCTCTGGGACCTTTGAATATTTGTACAAGGTAGAGCCCTGTACTGTAGATCTTTCCTAAATCTTCCCACTGAAAATGACCAACAAGAATTCTTTTATTTTCTGGGTATTGTCGAATGCAAATTGAGTTAAAGATGTATGATAAGATTTTGTCAATTTTCTTGAGTTTATACTTGGTGGTATTCGGTTTAAGTCTTGGGATGATACAAAATGGATTTCCCCGTCTTGCAAACCTATGAAGTGGATTTCCGGTATGACCTTTCAAGAACAGAAAGTCTGCCTGCGTTTCCCTTTGGAAAAACCTTGTGTGAGACGAAAATCCTCTGACTGAGGTTTATCTGTAATAATCTGTTTTTTTTTTCGTGAAGTGGCCATCGGGTGAGTTTTAGTTCCACCTTTGTTTTATCAGAACAGTAGAGCAATATTCCGTAGCATAATTCCCCTGACTTCTTTACAAAAGAGAGTAGGGGATTCTCTGGCACATCTGGAAGTCTTAGAAGCATTTGGTGACCCCGAGGTCAATTTGAACCAATCAGAGATTGCCAAGCTGGTTACAGGCAACATACCAAGTCAATGCAGCATGGATAAAAGAATCCACATCCCAGCTACTGCTGGGGATAAAATAGATTATGAAGGGGCTGAGGGTTTGGAGGCACTGAGGCAAGAGAGAGACAGCACCATTCAGTAAGTGACCACCTACCAAGCAGATCCTAGGGTCTCAAAAATAGAGTATCAAATTGGCCAGGCAGTATTGGCCAGAGAGGGACCCAAGGGGGTGGGGGTAGTGACAAAAAAGAAAAAATAGCCTGGGTTCCAGACCCATAGCACACTGGACAGTGGACACAAAATATCTCAGTGAGCCTGGCTAAAAAAAAGGGCCATATCAGCGTGCAAAATACCTGGTTGCCCAGTTGCCCTGGGCAACCAAATTTTACTTGGGGCAACCTATTTTTGAGCCTAGGTAGCCCAGTGTGCTACTTGAATTTTAAGAATCCGCCCCCCCCCCCCCCAATCATGCCCACTTGGCTTGCACCACTGTATCCGGCAGATGCTTTTTAATTTTAGGTATTAGTGGCTATTATTACTAAGTATCAGTTAACCAAAGGCTGTTAGAAATACATGTATTGTCAAAGGCTTACGTACATGTATGTAACATTACTTAATTTGAGGGAAGTAGTAACTTACAGGTGGGGCTACCTAAAATTCTGATGGGCACCCTAATTTTTGCCGTAGGTTGCCCACTGGGCAACCAGGTCCAAAAAAGTATTTTGTACACTGCATATATAAAAAGCTAACGATCATTCCCCCACAACCTCTGCTTGGAGAGCTCACCCACTGTAGTTGGATAGGTTTACATCCCAGTGCAGTTTTTTAGGGCTTGAAAACCAGATATTTCAAGAAAATTCCCAGTTTTGCCACCCTGACATAAATTTGCATTGAATGCCCTATTTTAACTTCCAACTTCCAACTTTCATCCCTTGTATTAATCTAAGATCTTTTCTTTGGACAGACAGTGTGCTAAATTGGCTACTACAGGTTAGATTTCATTAAAGGAGTACTTAAGTCCAGAAGGGAGTGCTATATTCCGACAGACATTAATTGTAGGAAGTGAAAAATGCATATTACTTTACAGTATACAATAAAATGTCCATTATGCACAAGTCTTAAAACGCATCGAATCCATGACAAACTCTCCAAATATCTTCAAAACTATCCCAGAATACACCACGCTACCCCATTAATCTTTAATGTCTATGTTTTAAACAAGGAAGTACGTTTCTGTTTTGTGTTCTTTGGTATCTTCTTACCGACCTTTGCCCTTCTTGGTGTCCTTATCGCCCCTCATTGATGCCGAAAATATTGATGATGAAAAAAAAGGCGTAATCTTATATCTTTTTGAGTTTTTCAGAAGTGGCGTAATCTAATATCTGTTCAATTAATATTTACATGCAAATAAATTGAGAAAATCAAAACACGCAGGATGAAACTGGCGCTCACTGCATTAGACATTCTGATATTATAGTATCCAAGTTAGAGGTCAAGCAAAGTAAAGCAAGTAAGTTTTCAATAATCAGCTTATCAGTGTGCTTGTCTCCTATCGTTTTCGCCGAAAATGTTTATGTTGACTAGAAGCGTATCAGTATTGCGTAAGCCAGAGTTCTCGGATGTATCGATGGTGGTTCAGCATGGGGAAAATGATATTGATATCGCTAAATACAAACATGCACCGTGCAAGTCGTATGAGCGAAATTATGTAAAAAGTCGTCTAGTTACTGTATTCAATCATTGGAAGCGTTCGATAACGGGTTCCGGACCGGGCCGTATTTTACGGTACGGCCCGGTGCGGAACCCGTTATCGAACGCTTCCATGGCTTCCATAAAACGATTCGAACGCATTTCGCCCTAACCGCGTGTGCCGCTTTCGAAAATTCGAATACAGAATCCGGACGTTGGAACTGATGTTGTTGCATTTGAGGGTTTAGGGGCACCAACTTTTGGCTCATATTGCATTGAAAGGCGTGTTTTCTAGGGTGGGTATGATATAAATAAAATACAACACGGTGTATTCCGCATCGCCCTCGGTCCCAGCCCTCCCGCGGATCGGATCTCCCTCCAGCCTTCGGGCGATCCAACGCGCGGTTGGGCTGGTACCTCGGGCGATATGAAATACACCATGTTGTATTCTATATGTACAATTGGTTTTCCAACATTGACATTGAAAAAAAATGTCCTCTGCAACTTTTACTTTTAAATTGTTATTATATATACTGTAAAAACTTGTATTAGCTGGGTCACCAGAGATCGCCAAAGTCTAAAAAGAAAGATAATCCCTACCTACTGACCCTAATTTTTTCAGGACTGAAACAAGAAACATGACATTTTTTCCCTAGGCCTAAGGTCCATCCCTTAGCATTCCACACATTCCAAGGAGGGCTTTAGTGACATTAGTCATAGAAACAACTTCTAACAGTTTAGAGTCTTTTTAATAACTGTTTATTGCAAATTCTTGCCCGAGGGCTAATTGCAGGAACAGAAGAAACATGTGGTATAAAAACAGACAATTAGTACACATAGAACTACTGATAACTACTAAGAAACTACTAGTAAAAACTACTAATATTGTTTGTCCTTGTCCTCAGTAATACATGTATCCCAGTCAGGGGTTGTCAGAGAATAAAGAAGACTTCTGTTGAAGACATGAAAACAAGTAAAATCTGAGATTTTATACCTCTGGGCTATTTATTGTATATTTTTATTTGTAATTTGTTATGTATAGTTGATGGTGTTGAATTTTATGTGTTAGAGAAGATGCATGTGCACAACAATTGCTGCGCGCCCCAGGACTAGGGGTTTAAACAAAGAATTTGAGATATCGAGACCGGACACCCCTCTTTGCGAGGGGTCATATACGTGGACCAGACCAAGAATATCCTTAACATGCCAAAGGTCAACAGTCACGACCATTTTAGGGGTGTTCTGGGGCCACCAAAAGGCGCCATTTACACGCCCGAAAACACATATACAATAAAAGCAAAAGAATGTGCATCATCTACAGCTCAATAGCAAAACATACACCGAGTCCCAAAAAAATCCGTCCACCCAAACGCGAGAAACACCTGCGAACATGAAAATCTAAATCTTTCACAAAACCCTTCCGCGGAAGGATGTCTCCTCCCCCGGAGGTAATAAAAAGAATAAAAAAAATAATCTTTTTACCTTACATACATCATGTACCTATCATGTTGCAGGTATAATCAGTTGAATCATATTTTAGTTTTACCTTTCATACCGTCAAGTACAGTATTTTGAACTTCATCATTTAAAGAACTTATAAATCAGCTGAATCATATTTTAGTTTTTCATGTACCTTTCATACCGTCAAGTACAGTATTTTGAACTTTAACATTTAAAGAACTTTAACTAACATACATTTTCAGAAAAAACAAAGAATTTATGTATACATTGTACAAGTTGTTGTCAATTGTCCAACTGTGCTGTGGTTTTCAGCATTGTCATTGGTTGTATTTATTTATTTGTTTGTTTGTTTACATGTATCACAGGTGTGGAATCATGGTGCTCCCACAGATTGATACCACAGCATCACTCCCTGGACCCGGACTGTACGGTAGAAACCAGCATAGCTCCACATTTTGCTTCGGATGACTAAACTTCCAGTTGACTCCACACTCTCCAAGCGCTCCTGCCATCAAATTTCTCTTCAAAGCTGTCACCGTGAAGTCCATTTTCATTGCAAACATATTGAAGAAGAGTATCACTGTGTTTGGCATTGTTGACAATCGATTCTTTCATTCTGATTAACTGATAAAGACTGAAAAAGAGTCCTTGTCACAACATCCATAAATTGACGCAAATTACTGCCAAACTTCCTCCGTCAGCTGTATAAAAAGACGCCACAGATGATCTGACTGTCGCACTGACCTCCCGTTTGGTCGGAAACGGACCGTTCGAGGAACATGAGTCGTCTCCTAGCGACGTGGCGGCTGGTGGTCCTGTCGTGGCTGCTGATTGGTCAGCAGGTGCAGCCGAGCAGCGACCGTCTGGTGCAGGTGACGGTGATGCCGGAGGTTCCGTTCCCGTTCATCCCGCCGCGACAGTGCGGGAACGTGACGGCCCTGGAGAGAGTGGAGATCGGATTCAAGACTGGAGTGGTAGAGCATGGTGAGTGAGATCATTGGGAAGTACAGAATTTTATTTTAGGCCACAGCAAGTAAATTTTATGGATGACATTCTCCACAGACTCCAAATCTAATGCGAAAAAACAACAAAAAACAAGGCGGGCCGAAAAAACAAGGTTCCTGCATTTCAAAATTTTGACTCAATCATGGTACAAATGGTTTTGATTCAGTGGGAACATCACATATACACAGCCAACATCACATATCACTGCATCAAAGTTAGAAACAAAACATTTAAAGAACTCAGCCTTGTCTTGTCTCCTCTCTGCCATCCACGTTCCGGCATGGCAACAGACATGTTTGTCCATTTTCGGCATGTTGACCCCTGTCATAGGGCAACAAAATTTCCAAGACTTGTTTTTTTTGTTGAAAACCAGGCGAAAATTAATGCGTGCGCTGATGTCATCCATAAAAATTACTTGCTGTGGCCTTAGGCCTAGGGAAAAAAGTATTGTGTTTCCTGTTTCAGTCCTGAAAAAATTAGGGTCCGGAGTTAGAGATTCTTTTTTTTTTCTTTTTTTTTTAGACTTTGGCGATCTCTATATAGTGATCCAACTTATACAGTACAATTCAACAAAGTAAAACTTGCATGAGAACACTTGGTTTCAATGTCAATGCTGAGAAACTGACTGTACAACGTTTCATCACTCAGGTGTCAGATCATGGAGTTAAAAAGATTGATCAGCTTGAAAAATTTATGTCCCTTGCAGGGGTCCACCAAAAAACAGGCTAGGGTCGGCAGTTTTTTTCTAGGGTTGGTAGTTTTTTCTAGGATCGGTTGGGAAATAGGAAACACAACATTTTTTCCTAGTGCTTCTTTTATTCATGGCCTGCAAGCCCTTTTCCGTAGAGCGTAATCGGCCGTTTTCATTTTACGTAGAGCGTAGACGGACCGCTCTAATATTTTTGCGTAGAGCGTATTCGGCGTTTTAATTCTACGTAATTCGTTGTAGCCACTTGGAATTTATCGTAAAGCGTAATCGAGAGGTTTCCGAATTCAGCGTAGAGCGTTGTCGGGACCCCCCTTGCAGGCCCTCCCATTAGTCTCTAGATTGGTGGGAAAAAAATGTTGCAACCACTTCCCCCATAGTGGGCCTCCAAGACACACTAGGAGGGCTTGACCTTTGACCCAGGCAGCAGGAGGGCCAGACCATTCCTGAGTTCATGGGAGGGGTGCAACTATCACATATCAGTCTCACAAGCACTAACACATGTCACACAGACACATCACTATTGCTAGCTTACCGTAATAGCAGTTAGTTTTGCAGTGGTTCTATCTCGTTATGGGAGGGGAAAGAAGGTTTAAACTGTATGAATTTAGCTGTTGAAGCAATATTCTGTTAGCCAAGAAAAATACGAACCACGTGATATTCACAATGTTGTGATTTTGGTGTTAAGAACTGAAGACAATGGGAAAAAAAAGTACTGCAAACATTTCAGCATTTACAGTACACTCCACTGGGTGTGGTTTTGGTGTCCACAATCCCAACAGTTCTTCCCCCCCACATTCCCAATGATTTATAAGCCAGGAATTCCTAGCGTGCAGGCTGGAATTGTGATGGTATATGCGGCGTCTTGAGGCTTGGAAAGTGTAGTGGTAAGTTACCAGATGAAATTCTTGCAATTCTATATCAAGGAAGTTTGTATACACGTTATATACATGTGTACTTTACTGTATTACTATTATGCAGAAAGTTTTGGAGTGGTCGTATTTTGAGGTGTTAAGTTCTAGAAAGATAGTCTACCTGTAAAAAAAGCCTCTCAAAATGCAGAAAATAGCTGTTCAGAGGGTTAAGATTTCAAAATTTTCCCAGGCCTAGGGGAGCATACTACATACTCTACAACTCCCCCCTCTAGGGGGAGGGGCATATAAGATTGTAAGCATATACACATGCTTAGGTCAAAAGCTAATTGATTACAGTTTTTGCCCTATGGGGAATTCTACAGTTAAAAATCAAGATGATTCAAATCCAAGCATTATAGTTGGGTGCACTTGAGGAATAGGAAATTACAACATGGGTCCTCCCACGCAAGTCACCTACTTGGTCTTCTTCACAACGAGGCTTCTGTGCTACTCTGCCTATTGAAAGTACATCAGATCATCTCTTTGGTTGAAGCAATTAAGGCCACAGCAAGTAATTTTTATGGTTGACATAAGCACGCGCATTGATTTTCGCCTGATTTTGGAAAAAAAATTTTTTTTGCCCTCTTACGGTGGTCAACATGCAGAAATGAGCAAATTGGCATTGTCTTGTCATGCCAGAACGTTGATGGCAGATAAATATGAAAATGGGAGACAAGACATTAGGCTCGGATTTGTTTTTGTTTTATTTTGATGCAGTGATGTATTTCATAGCTTTTATATGTTCCCACTGAATCAAAACCGTTCGTACAATGATTGAAAACTTTTATTTTTCAAATTTGTTTCAGTTACAAATGAATGTTGTACTACATTTGTAGTTGGCAGCAAATTTAGCACAATAAAGGTGTCATTCCTTGTTTAAGAATATTAATGAACTCGAAATTTGACCTTGTTTTGTTTTCACCTGCTCGCAGTAGATTTGGAGTCAGTGGAGGATGTCATCCATAAAATTTACTTGCTGTGGCCAAATTCACAATACTAAGTTCTCCAAAGGGGGAGGGGGGTTTGTGTGGAGTTTCTGCTTTGTTTGGAACAAGTTCAATAAACATGACCAACTTGTGACCGGGTCATTATGAGACTTGACCTATCACGAGCCATGTTACAAACATACTTGTACTATTAGTATCACCGGCGTGAGATTTCTATAACAGATGGAAATCGCTCTTGCTTATTTGTCTTTGCAGAATATGTTTATACTGTGAAAGAGCAAAGAAGGCAGTAGATACTAGTACTTGTGCCAAAGCTACTGAAATCTAACTTATATGTGTAGGCCGGTGTGTTTTTGTAATGTCTAGCCTAGATGACTAACTTTTTCAGGGTCAGAAATACATGCACTGGGTTAGTGGGTGCATATGTACTTTTGTGCACTCAAAATTGGAGTCGAAAAATACTCTAAGGCCACACCAATTTAATTTCTTGGTTAACGGATTTTTCTAGAAAAATAATGGAGCGGGCGGGCAAAAAAAACAAAAACAGGCCTAGGCATTCTATTTTGTATGATAGGAGCCATGAAGTCAACACACCAGGCTGGTTCAAAATTTAAACAATGAATTTTGAACTTTTAATGATACCACTGCATTGAAAGATGGAATAACTGTAACAACTACTAGGAAGAAAAGGACTGTTTTCAACTGTTCAGGGCAAAATACAAATGTATGAGCATTTTGCAGTTGATTCTGAATTTTTATTTTTTTTGGAAATCAGGAAAAAATGAAGCGGGCGAATCCGTTAACCAAGAAATTAAATTGGTGTTTCCTAAAGTCTCTGATTTATTGTTTTTACAACAATCCTTGGAAAATATGGATTCAGGAAGCGTGACTAGGTAAATTGTAATTTGTGTGCAAATTGCGTAGTTGGGCAATTTGACATTTTGAATCAAGTGCGTTGAACACAAAACTTTCTCGTCATTAATTCTAATGCCCCTTTTTTAATATCGAGGTCGCAAAAAAATTTGATTGCCTGTCATTTCTGAAATGAGTGGCCTTGAAAATTCCATAATCTCAAGATAGGAAATTCATATTAAGGAATTTCACCTTCATTATGGGTATGGTATATTCATCACATGTCACAATATGAGGTAATGATAGATCATGAAGCCATGAAATTTCTTAACGCAAATTAATATTTCATGAACTAGAAGCTTCTTGATAGTTTGCCTGCGTATCTTCAAAATTGCAGGGAAAATATATATGCAAATTGAAACTTCATTTGAGACAGTTTGTTTAAATTAGTCTGCCACAATTAATACATTTCTGTATACTGATTATGACCTTTACAAAATGTATATGATTAAATGTTTTGTTTTTCATGCAAATGTATTGCAGGACCAGGACATTGTTGGTTATAATATTATTTTTGTTGCAAAATATAGTGTAAGGAGGATATGGGAAGTTAGCAGTAACTACCGGTAAGGGGGTTGCTGTAAAGGGTTTTTACTTCCACTTTGACTTTATTTTGTGGTAAGCAGGAAGGAGTCAGAGGTTTTCATGTTGTTGTAAGGCCACACCAATTGAATTTGTTGTTTCTCAGATTTTTTCAGAAAAAATATGGAGCGACAGTTTAGTACATGGTTTGCCCTTGGGAACTCTCTGTTGGTCCCTCTATCCTACATAAACATTTACATTTTGTACTGTAAACTGTGACAGAAGAATAATATCTCATCATAAAAAGATTCTTACTTAGATATACATGATAGTTTACACAGCACAGTTCTATCTGAAAAGGTATGCAAAAATTTTAGTGCCTAACCCCATGGGTTTGATTCCCATTTGGAACACATACTGTCAAGGACATTACAATGATTGGTATGTATGTATGTCTTTCTGAGTCCCTGTTAGAATTTCAGTCAGTAGACTATACAAGTGACCTTTGACCAAAGACAGGGCAAGTATGTGTGATATTTGGAGTATACAAACTGGTGGGTTAGCTAATATAACATGTACACATGTATGAAAGAGCACAATTTTAAGGGTTGGCTCTACCAATTCAATCTGCTATTTGTCAGAATTTAAAGAAATGATGATTCGCAGTTGGAAGATCAAATTCATCTATGTATCTTTGCATAACTAAAATAACTAAAACGGCCTGGAAATTAAAAAGGGCCGTCATTATGATACCCCAGCAGATATGTCTTACATGCAAGGAGGGTATTCAAGACGAATTTCACTTCATGATGTCATGTCCAACAATAAAATTATGAAGAAAACAGACAAAAGTTGATACAATCCAAAGCTTCCAAAACTAATGTTATGCTACCTCACTCAAAATCAGATATCTTTGATATACTCCTTTCATGCCCTCATAACTAAGATATCAGTGTATGTTGGAAAATTCATACCTGTAAATAACTGATATATCTCCAGACCTGAATTACAGAATGTGATAATATTCTTCTTAGGAAAACACAACAGGTTAGCTTTAGTATCATCATGGACTAAGCCCGTTAGAATTATCTTAGTATTAGTTCGTGTACATCTACTGTATGTACCCTTGTTGTTTCTTCTTTGCCATACATTGTACCAGTTACAGTTGTTGAGCAATAAAGTTGATTTGATTTGATCTTAAAAAAAAGGTGGTTGAACTGCTAATTGCTATGCTTTCATTGGTTGACTGTGTCACATACATGTATGCGGAAAAATCAGGTCTTGGGTTAGACAGCTGATGAACACTGAGAGATTGATAAAAAAAATCCTGGTTTAATTTCTCAATGTATCAACAAACCAACTCGGATGAACTTTCATGCTACTATCCTGCATGTAACTTTTCTTACCTTTTATCCCATCACAGAATACATAGTGACTTTCAACGGATATTTCACCCCGACTGCCCGCAAAAACTTCATCCAGGCAGCGTTACGGGAAGCGGAGATTCCGTCGTGGCAGATCGTACCACGGAATAACCCCGCCAGCGACTATCCCAGTGACTTTGAGGTTGTACTGGTAAGTTTGTATTCATATCTTACAAGTTTTTAAACCTTACTGAAATCTGCATTAGTAGGTATTGTCAAGCATTTTATATTTATAATAATATTAGTGGCATATTTATCTGTGCTAAGATTAATGCCTCGAAATTGATGGCTTCATACAGCATGAAAGATTAATATACACATAATTCATGTTCAGTGTATATGGGAGAAATGTTATACAGTATGAGCATTATGGAAGTGAATTGTTGTGGAAGTTCAAAGATATGGGAACTGCAGCCTGCAGTCAGCAATGCCTCCTAGCAGTTTTGGTAATGACTGCAGTGAAAAATTCGAGCATTCTCATATGTGTAGAATGATGTTACGTCACCTCTTGTGCATACCAAAGAGGAGAAAGTTTGAGTCCTTGTCTGACCTTTCTCTCTTCATACAGAGAAAAGCACTTCTAATTTGAAGAAGTCTGTGGAATATTAATGAATCTTAGATTCTTAGTATTGCTTTTTAATTAGTATACTTGATATGTAACATGTAAGTATCATTCAACAACTGGTTGGGTATTGATTTTACATTATGAATGCTGCTCTCCTGCTGCTTGGTTTAGGGCTTCGTACCGGTCCAGGTGGACCGGTACGGACGGGAAAAATACTATTGGTCCGGTCCAAAAAAAACGAAACGTCGGTGGACTGGTTTTTTGGACCGGAACAAAAATTCATACTTGATCACTACACACAAGGAGGCCTGCCAGGAAAATGAACATACAGCGTTAAAATAAAGAGTTCAGTAAGTGTGGGTCACTAAGAGGGTGACTGAGAACTAGTGAGAAGTGAGATAGGAAACCTAGTTATATCATCCATGGTTATATTTGATGTTCTTTGAAAGATACAGGACAAATTGTCAACACTTTATTCATGTTTCTGTCATTATTGAAGAATTTCAGTAGAACATGTGACGCGCATGAATTTTCAGGTACAGGTACAGGTCCGGACCTGGACCTAAACCTCTGTACCTGTACCTGTACCTGATGTTACGAAAAGGTACGCAGCCCTAGCTTGGTTAGAACCTACGCCTCCATGGTTTATAGTTACGTGACATGTACATGTATATGCAGGACTACATTTGTAGACATCCTTTTTTTTGTTCACCTGCACTGTTGCAGTTACATGTACAGTTAACTGCACAAGAAAAAATTTTACCTGGACCATTCAATGATGTCTCCAAAAGTGGATAAAACAGCCTTTTGAACATACTTTATTATATACCTGTTTACTAACAAAGTACAAATGTAGGTAAAGCCACAGCAATTTAATTTCTTGGTTAACGGATTCACCTGCTTCATTTTTGTTCTGATTTGCAAATAAAAATAAAAATTCAGAATCAACTGCAAAATGCTCATATTTTGCCCTGAACAGTTGAAAACAGTCCTTTTCATCCTAGTTGTTACAGTTATTCCATCTTTCAATGCAGTGGTATCATTAAAAGTTAAAAAATTCATTGTTTAAATTTTGAACCAGCCTGGTGTGTTGACTTCAGGGCTCCTATCGTACTATTTTGGGATGCCTAGGCCTGTTTTTTTTTTTTTCGCCCGCCCGCTCCATTATTTTTGTAGAAAAATCTGTTAACCAAGAAATTGAATTGGTGTGGCCTAAGGTACAGTCATTGTAATACTGCCGTCCATAGAAACTGAATAGACTCTATAGAGAGTGTAAATTACATCTTAATTTACTCAAAAATAAAATTTCTTTACACGAATACATGTATCTTAACTTCACTCAGGTACTTGGACAAGAGTACCTACATGTAGCTTGAACTAGATCAGATCAGATAGAACGTTAAATGGAGGTCCCATGTTCGAGACAGCCACACCTCGAGCATGTTAAAGAACCCACCGCATTTTTTAACAGAGTAGGGGTCCAGCAGGTTCAGAACCTTACAGTCCACACCTGGTGCGATTACTGTTGTATGGAGGTCACCAGAGCACAGAGAAGCTGCCATTCATTACAAGCTCTTTGCAATTCAGTCCCTGGCTTGAAAGAAAGAGTACAGTCATTGCGTAACCAACAACACACCAGCATGTTTTTGTAGCCTTCAGCCACACCAATTTAATTTCTTGGTTAACGGATTCACCTGCTTCGTTTTTTTTCTGATTTGCAAATAAAAATAAAAATTTAAAATCAACTGCAAAATGCTCATATGTTGCCCTGAACAGTTGAAAACAGTCCTTTTCATCCTTGTTGTTGCAGTTATTCCATTTTTCAATGCAATGGTATCATTAAAAATTCAAAATTCATTGTTTAAATTTTGAACCAGCCTGGTGTGTTGACTTAATGGCTCTTATCGTATCATTTTTGGGAGAATGCCTAGGCCTGTTTTTATTTTTTTCGCCCGCCCCCTCCATTATTTTTCTAGAAAAATCCGTTAACCAAGAAATTAAATTGGTGTGGCCTTCATTGCTGATAAATTGTTTAGACATAATTAGAGATTGAATTTGTTTGAATTTGGTATTGTTATTACCTTCATCAAGGAGGTATATGCTTTTGGTAGCATGTGTCTGTAAACATTAACTCCAGAAGGCTTAGATGGATATTCGGTATGTGGGTGCATGTACATTGTACATTGTAGGTCTTGATGAATTTTTGGCCCCCTGCTGGCTTGTACCTGCTGGATGCCACCATAGTCCCCGACCCTCAGACATGAGGATGGGACTAGGTAAAGGTAAGTAAGGTAAGCTGGCTTGTTATGGTACTGCAGTGGAACCTCTGGATCTGATATCTCGTGATCTGGACATGTTGGTTTTGTATTTTGCACAGAATGGTCAGGGCTCGAAATACTGGGTTCATGTGCACCCAAAATTGGAGCTGTGCACCCAATTTATTTCTGTGGGTGCACTGGTGCATATTTTTGTACATATTTTTTTTTACATACTAAATGTAGTAAATGTAGTATACAGGATATTCTTGGAATCTGTCAGAAAAATATTAATTAATAAAATCTTTGTTGTACAATGTAGTAGTTCTGTAAGATTTTGAACTTAGCTTCCATTTCATGTTCAAGCTTAGAAGAGGATCAGTAAGATCTGTAATTACATGTAGGTTTTGCTGTGTATGGTGCACCCAAACATTTTTTTGTGCTTCTAATTTTTTAGTGCACCTATTCCCAAAAATGAGCCCTTTAGGTACATGTCAGATGGGTTCTGTGTCCCATAAGTTAGTCCATGTTTGAAGCGATTGTTGCTGCACCAGGGCCGTTCATTTGTTTGGCCGAGATTCAAGAACCTTTCTGCAGACAAAGTGGAAACCTTTTTGGTAATTGCAAGTAGGTACAAAAATGTAAATCTTAACAGATGTACCTACATGTAGCATAGAAGCTGTTTTTATTTCCCATCACCAGTAAGCCATGTAAATTCCATTTGATAGAGGACAAAAAACATTAGCAATTAAGAAAACTGAAATATCTACATGTACAAGGTAGATTATTGTTTGTAATAATTATAAAGTATATATGAAAAAGATTTTGCATGTAGTATATAAGATGACAGATAACTACAGGTTATCAATTCAATGTTTTAAGATACTGTACACTACTCAATTATCTGGGTGGTCAATTGAATGTTGGAGTGCATTTTATAACATCCATGTGTATATTGTAGAATAGATTCCATGGGTTGAATATCATTCTTTGATTCATGTATGGGTATATTTACCGTTATGTACTGCTAATGCATAAGATTTCCCAAGTCTCTACACTACCATACTACATACAAAAATGGCAAATCTGTGTGTTTATACGTGCAGTCTATAATGTCTTATATTTTATGTATAGTGTCTGTTTTCTGTGAATCTGTACCTGAAGAGTCGGCAATCTTTCTTATCCGTTAATGAAACACAAATCCTTGGTACTATCACTCGCTGTAACAATCCATCATCTACATTGTAAGAGTACAAATTAGCTTGGTTTGGGCCTGCTATCCGCGTATGCTAAGGCCACACCGACTTAATTTTATGGATGACATCCGCGCGTGCATTGATTTTCGCCTGTCCTCAAAAAAAAAAAAGATTACGTCTTCCGAGGCTCTGGCCTGGCTCTAGGCCTGGGTAGTTCGTGGTAGCTAGCGACAATACGGAGCCGGTGGTAACTCTGGAGGACAGCACCCAGGATACCGAAACTCAACGACTTAACTCACGCGTACAGTACCGATTCACAAATTACGCAAAAAGCCGGCTTGTTGTATATGTCGCTATGTACTGCAGCAAATTCACAATACATTGTATTCCTGTGGTTTAGTAGCATTTTTATTTTTGGGCGGAAATTTTTTTTATTCGCCCGCGCGCACTAGTTTTGGGGGTCTTCAGAGGATGTCATCCATAAAATTAAGTCGGTGTGGCCTAAGAATTTGCAGGTGCACGTTCTTGTTTATTACGTTGGAAAATGCAGGGATCCATCACGCTCTGTATCCGAGGGGACCCCGATCCCAGTTATTCCTGTTGTGTAAATGTCAAGTCCATCCATTATGTCGGGAGACACTTAGTGTAGAGGATTGTGGGAAATGGGGGAGGGGGGCAGCTGGGTTCTCCCCAGAATCTTTTCTGGGCAAAGTGGTTAAGTGCAGAATACCCGATCACAGTAGGGGGTCCAGCATCTGCTGCAAAAAAATTGTTATTATTTCATTTTTAGGCCACACCAATTTAATTTGTTGTCCCTTGGATTTTTTAAAGAAAAATATGAAGCGACAGGGCAAAATAAAAAAAAGGCCAAGGCACCCCATGATAGCAAGAAATGTCACAATATGAGCCATGAAGTGAACATACCAGGCTGGTTTATAATTAAAACAATAAAAAGATAGCATTTTGCAGTTGATTTAGAACAAAAAATTTTTTTTTTTTTGCAAATCAGAAAAAAATGGACAGGGCGAATCCGAGAAACAACAAATTAAATTGGTGTGGCCTTAGGGGAAGGACTGAGATTGGAAACACAAATTTTTCTTTCGTGAGCCAAACATTTTTTACATTTCTGTATTTA